TTGAACGTATCCTCTCCGCAATTTTCTCGCCGCCTCGCCTTCGCCTCGCCTACTCCGCGCCTTACTCTAGGCGCCACCGAACATCCAGCACTGCCCGGTGCTCAGTTCGAAACCCCCCGGGGGTGTTTTTTCAATGTCTTCCTTGCCTCTTCATTCTCCCACTCCATTCGTCAGCCCCATTCGCCCGCCCCCCCCCACTCCTCCCCTCTCCGCAGGCGGTCTTGTCCCGGGGCATTCGCAGCCTGGCTGTGGTCCTCAAGCACGCCGCCATCTTCCCGGCGCATGAGCAGCAAGTCGGTTCGCTGGCGCGGGAGATGGGCTTCACACAGGTGTATATGTGTATGTGTGTATGTGGGGGGGGGTGTTGGGGGTGTGGTGGAGGGCGGAGAGGGGTGGCTGAGGGGGGGTATGGTCTGCCACCTCGTCCTCGTCCTCGTCCTCGTCGCTTATCTCCCTCCGCCGCCAACACCGCCCCCGCGCTCCGTCTCCCGAGCCATCGGCAGTTGACCCCTTCATTTCACTTCACTGTACTTCACTTCATTTCGCTTCACTTTACTTCATTTCGCTTCACTTTACTTCATTTCGCTTCACTTTACTTCATTTCGCTTCACTTTACTTCATTTCGCTTCACTTTACTTCATTTCGCTTCACTTTACTTCATTTTTTCATTTCATTTTCCTTCACTTCACTTTTCTTCGTGTGTGTTTTGGCTCCCGCGGAGACTGAGCAGATTGAGCAGCGGATGCCTTAACGCGCTCCGAAGCCGATACGTCTCTTCTGTTTCCCCACGGAGCTTCCTGTCCGTTACACAATCCCGTACATACACACGTACACACGCCCCGGCAGGTGTCTCTGAGTCACGAGGTGATGCCCATGGTGAAGATGGTGCCCAGAGGCTTCACTGCCGCGGCGGACGCCTACCTGACGCCGCACATCAAGAAATACATCTCGGACTTCGCGGGGGGCTTTGATGCGGGGTTGAAGGACGTGCAGGTGGGCAGTGTGGGGGACGAGGGGGGCAGTGTGGGGGGGGGGCAGTGTGG